TTGAAATACTTTCTGGCCTGACTTGGATCTTTTTCTCCATGATGTCCGTAAAGTAAATAATACCCTACCCAGAATTTCGCTACCGGATTATTAAGTTCAGCATTTTGTTTGAAGCATTCCCATGCTCTCTTATATTCCTTATTTTTATGCATCTCTATACCATCCTTGAGAGGTATAACGGCAACTTCATCGATCACTTCTTCAGGAATTTCATCCTCAATTTCAGGATTTTCATCAAATTCTGGTAAAGATTCACACGATTTTTGTCCATCAAGATCCAATACATTATTTCTTAAAAGTAGTGGTTTATCAAGGAGAATTGGGAATTTATTGGCTAAATCTTCAAGTCTTTGCCTTAATGCAGGAATAGTTATTCGCAATTCAGGTTTATCGCACCATGCTTTTTAAGAAACAAAAAAGCAAATTAAAAATTTCATCATTAATAAAAATAAATCAATAAAAATAACAAATTGGTAGAATTAAATTAATAAAAAATAGACAGAATTACCTTCTTGAATGATTTTAATAAATTCTAGTTGAATTTCTTTATCGGCAGTGCTTTTAAAATTTCCTTTTGAAATTTTTTCCCGTTTACCATTCAAAACATGATCGGATATTAGTTTAATATTCCAATCTGCATAAGGCATCTTTTCATAACAAAGCTCCCATAAGAGCATTCCAAAACTAATTGAAATAATAATTGAGAAGATGGAAAATAAAGTAAACTCAGTTCAATATCCATATAATCAATTACCTGAACATTTCACAATTAAGTGTATATACTTTTTTGTTTCCTTGTTTACTTTGATTGCTCATATCGGTATATTTTTTGATTAGCTCAGGAGCCATCCAACGAATAATGTATGTTGCTAAACCTTGAAGATTTCTAGAATTGCCATCTACTTCACGTGCACATCCAAAGTTTCCAAGTTTTACGCTCAAATTTCTTAGTACCTATAATTTAATATTAGTAATTATTATTTTTAGACTATTACTGTAAAAAATATTATTTAATTATACTTACCAAAACATTTTCACACCTAACATCATGATGAAAAACATTTACTGTACGTAAAAATAGAAGGCCAAGAAGTATATCTTTGGCAATTTGAATTTTTCTTGTCCAAGGAATGTCATTATTTTCATAAAGCTCTTTTAAATTTCCTCGTTCAGCCCATTCAAATATCATAACTTGGATGTTATTAACTACCGAGTGCCCATAAAACTTGAGAATTTGAGGTGATAGACCTAATTTGCCGAGGATTGCCATTTCGTTTTCATTCCGACCATCCATAGGTTTACATGCAACTTCTATTAATGATTTATACATTCTTTTAAAGACTTTCCCTCTCATAATTGGTGTCTTGGAATCATCTAATTCACTTGGTTCAACCTTTTTCGCATCACCTTGTTTAGTCGTTTGCATTAAGTCTATACCTTGAGTTACTGCATCAAACTTATCGCAAAACTGTTTAATGTTCTAAAATGGACAATCGCAGAGTTTAAAATTAATATCATAATGTTGTTATATTTCCAAATAATTTAACTTACATTATTTACATCACCAAGCTTACAATCAATATTTTTGAAGTTCTAGAATAAAAAAGTTATAATTAATATAATAAGTATATTATATTTCTGAATGACTAAACCTACTTCATCAAGTGTAATATTAAGTTGTTCGAGTGACTAAATTATATAAAAATAAAAAAAGTTTATGATGAATATAATTGTTATATGTTTCAAAATAACCGAAATAAACTTACTTCTTTAACTTCTTTTAAAGATTTATCAACTCTTTCAGATTCTTCTTCTCTGTCAATTGCATTAGAAACATCGATAGCAAAATTCAGATCAGCCATACATCTATCAAATTCATTTCTTAATTGCTCAAATTTATTTTTAACATCAGTTGCGTGAAGAAATCTTTTATAGCCTTTAAGTATTGACACACTCTTACAATATTCTTTCATATGTGTTAAAGTGTTTTTAAATCTTTCAAAAGCAAAAAAATATGATTTTTTTCGAAAATCTTCCTTTTTCTTTTCTATGCTTCTAACTATCTTATCCATAGAAAATTCTGCTGCCTTTACTCGATCAACCAAAACAAGGCAAAGTTCTTTGTTACATTCCGCATTCTCGTAAATTTGATAAATTTCGTCAACAAGCAGTTTTACCGCGTTGATAACAGGAATGTAAACGGTCAATAAATCGGCAGCAGTGTCAAAAAGTTCTCTTGTAGAGGCAGCAGTGTCAAAAAGTTCTTTTGCAGAGTTAGCAGTGTCAAAATGTTCTTTTGTAGACATGATTAAGACAAAGATTATAATTAATGTCTGAGCACGAATGTACGTACGAATTTTAATTATCTACTAAAGCTTTTTATAAAATTTGGTACGCATTTAGCGTGAGTAGCTTAATATTTGATATTAATATTCCTTAATAAAGTATCGTGTCAATAAACAGGTTTATATCATGTTTATCTAATATATATCGATATTTATCTTTGTAAAAAAAAGGCTTGCTGATCCAGTGGGCTGATGTGCATTTCCATGCATTAAATTTTATTACTTTATTTGTTAGGTAAGCTACTGCAAGATGCAATTATTTTCGAGTTATACAAACCCAAAAGGGACTAGAAAGTAAATTTTGCTTATCCTAGCACAATAGCTAACAAAAATATCTAAAATTACAAGAAAGTGTAAAATACTCTGTGATACTAATTTGTACATAAACTCATAGCTTGCTTTACAAAAATGCGTCAAAATACTCTGAAATCCTGAAAGTTCATTTTCGTTAGGAAACTTTGTTAGTGCGCTGTATTCTGTATTTGAAAAATCGGAGTAGTCCCGAGACTCAAGAACTTCTGATTGGCTAAGACTGTTTTCAAGTACAGAAATAGTTCTCATTTACTTTGCAACGAACTTGTTTTGTCAGTTGTGAAGAACAAGATTGACCCCTAAATTCTATTTTTAGAGTTAAAGGTGGTACAAATTCCTGGAATTCCCGGGATTCCTGGTATTCAGGAATTCTTTTGATTCGAAGAATGATGGGAATTACGAGAATTCATAGAATAGTTAGAATAGCAAGAATAGTTAGATTTCCTAGAATTCCGTTATATGTATAAAACAATTATATAAAAGAGGAACTTCCCTCCAAAATAAAGATAACTCACTAGAGTTCGACCCAAAGCTTTGTGACGTAATCTAGAGCTCTATTTGGCCCTAATAACTCGAACCAAGTCTTTCCACTAGCCTTCCACTATTAGGGTTGAAAGTGTTTGGTTGTTTAGAGTTGTGTTGTATAGTATTAGAATTGGTTGATATCCGTATTGCCCATATTTTCCTGAGTCCGATCAAGTTAAACCCTTCTACAGTACAAACATCTTATGTTATACACTACTTGTGCTATGTAATCGTGCGTTCACTGTAATTTCTAAAGACCTGATTGCCGAGGTGTCGCTATCCATCACTTTATAGCTATCGACACTTACTAGGATTTGTGTTACATATGCACCATTTTAATTTTCTAAATCTTAAAATTATCAGTTATGGCTGATAAGGTTAATTACAAAAGAGATAGCTTAAATGGAATATGTGCAAAATTGCAACCATTATAACACTTCTAAAACTTGGTGTCAAACATGTAATCCTCAGAAAACAGCACAAGAATGGACGAGTGGAATAAAATTTTCGATAATTGCATTAAAGAATTCCAACTTAAAGCCACAAAATACGAAGATGTAATTGAATGGATTCCTTTTAATAAATTAGATAACATTCAAAAATTGATAGATTTATAACAACCTGGTTAGATGGAGTACGGTATATAAATAGAGATGAATATAAAGTATTACATAGTCACGTACACCACCGTGTATAATTACACTTGGAGTATTGACTAGTTTACAAAATTTATTAGATATTTTGAAAGTAAGGTTATTTTATTTTACATGTATTTATTAATCAATAATGCGCATTTATAAATTTATTTATTATATGTATTTTATTAATTAATAATGTGCATATATAAATTTATATATTATATATATTTTATAAGTTTAAAAGTGTTTATGGATTAACTCAAAACACAACTACAAAAGATTATATGTTGGTATTTGATGAATTTGGCCCTAAAAGAAAAGCATATAATGGAAAATGTGCCAATTGCAACAGATATAACACTTCTGATGCATGGTGTCAGACATTTGACCTTCAGAAAACAATACATGGATGGACAAGTGGAAATGAGAAAGTAGATGATTGTATTAAAGAATTTCAGCTAAAGCTACATCGAATAGATTCCTTTTAATAATAATTTGGATAATATTCAAAAAAAAGGTGATAGATTTTTTAGCAACCTGGTTAGATGGACTACGATACGTAAATATGAATAAACTCAGTCACGTACACAGCCATGCACAATTGCACTTGAAATATTGGACAGTACACAGTATTTATTAAATACTTTAAAAGAAGTAAGTTATATTCTTTATTTCAGTATTTATAGTTTATAAATTAATAGCGTAATAACCTGTGACTTCGCTACAGGAGCTATATATAGTAGTTAATAAAGTTTTAATTTAGTATTTAAATTCACCATCTAATTCAGTATGTATAAATAAAAAATTATTTAAGAGTTACTTGCACTAAATATTTATACTGGTAATAAGAAATAGCTACTGTGATGTTTCAAATAAGTATATGGACATTATTTCGAATTTTGGCCATAATTAAACTTAATTCAGACCAAAATTCAACATCTATGCTTACTAAATTAAGACCTTTTGGAAAGTTCACCACAAAATTACATGAATAAGAAAGTTACTTATATACTCACAAATTTAAGAGCATTAGCAAAGAAAAAAAAAAGAGAAAGTAAATTAGTATTATTAATTTTAGATAAAAAACCCCCAAATAATTTCTAACTCTATGATTGAAAGTATCCCACTTCATGCACAACATTAATGCAAGGCGAATATAAAAGTGAAAAGAAATAACTAGCTAGAAGAGTTTGAATATTAAATGCTTTAAACAAAGATGGGAACTCACGCAGCAGTTGTTATTAACTAACATTAGTGTATCATTATTATAGTTTATATATCAAAATTAGTAAGCAAATGTGATGAGTAGTCTTATTAAGCATCAAAATTTATTGGTTCTACCACAAAATCCCGAAAGTCATTTTTCCTAAAGAACATAATACTGACTAAATTGACAGTATTATAGCTAATGCTGATTAACTTTGGCGGTATTAGGTCCTTTCAGAAATCTGTCATTCGGGAATTAGTGGTAAACCCAAATTCATTAAAACAGCAAAATTGTACTTTTAACTCAACTTATTGATATAGATCGTAAATATTTAAGTTACTTTTTCATGTGTAAATAAATATTAAAATTTTAATTCATTCATACACGATTACATTTAGTTACAAAAATAAAAAATGTATTACATAATATGTACTAGATGAACATTTATGATTTGAGGAAATTAGATCCATAAGCACTGAGTAAACTTGATGATTATGTTATATTGGTGTTATTTATCAAACAATACTGTTTTACAGGGTGATTTAGAAATCAATAAATACATTATTGGTAATGTTTGAAACTTTTGAACCACTAAAGATGGTTGTTGCTTAATTCACTGAAAGTTACTTCTCCACCAACTCATTCCCCGACACAATAATATCGATATGCTATTTCATCTAAAGTACATTTTTTCAATAAGATATATATTCGACATTACATTTTTTTCAACAAACCTTTTCTTAGACAAGACATTTCCCGACAATCATTTCGTCAACATAAAATTTGCCTGATCTAGCATTAGAGTTGGCTTGATTAGAGCTAATGTTGGTTAAAATATATTGGGTAAATAATTGTCGGAGAAATGTCTTGTCTAAGAAAAGGATTGTAAAATATGTAATGTCAAATATATGTCTTATCGAAAAAGTGTGCTGTAGATGAAATAGCATGTCGATATTACGGTGTCAGGGAAATGAGTTAGCGAAGAAATAACTTTTGGGGAATAATACCATAATTCTAAAGATAAGATATTCAAATTATTTTACATTAATATTTAATAAAATATCATTTATTTAACTCAATTTCGCAATAGAACTTCCAGGTAAACAATATTTACAGAACCATTGTTATCTTATGGGAAAAGAACTATGATCAAATGTGGAGAAGTACAATGAGAAAGAGCTACATAAAGCTGGTCATGCATAAAAACATCAGGCCAAACATGTATTAGAGATTGTTCTTGCACTATATTTATAGTTAATGCAAATACAACATGAATTGGAAACAGTTTTCATTTAAGTTTGTTGTTGATAGTGTCAAGGTTAGAGATAGCGATCAGTGAAAATTTCTTAATCGATCATAATATTGTTTATTTATAAAATGCTTGAAAGTTTGACCAACTAACCAGTGTTTCAGCCTAAACAGAAACTTTTGGCCAGCTGAAACCTCTGAAACCTCTGAAACCTCCGAAATATAGTTTCACCAGAAGTTCTAAATCCAAAACTTCCGAAACCTCTAAAACTGGGTGAAACCTCCAAAACTGGGTGAAATCTCCAAAATGGGGGAAACCTCCGAAATGGGCAAAACTTCAAATACTTCCGAAACAAATAGCAAATAAAATACGAAAATTTTCGGATCATATAAAAAACACATGTATAAATAAGTATAAAGTTATATCTGATACTAGGTGAAACTTCTGAAATTAGGCGAAACTGGTCAAAGTCTCTGAAATTGGGCAAAACTAGCCAAAACCTCCAAAATTGGATAAAACTGGCCAAAATCTCAGAAATTAGGCAAAACTGGCTGAAACTTCCGAAATTGGGTGAAACTAGCTAAACCTCAAAATATTCCAAGTGGAATATCAAAGAACATAAAATACGAGCAAGGTGGAGAGAAAATAGAGGAAAGTTCTTAAACTTTCTGAAAGACAGTGAGTTTGGAAGGATGTTTTGTGTTTCAGAAATTTTGGCCATTTTGAAGGTTTCACCCATTTCAGAAGTTTCAGCCATTTTAGAGGTTTCAGATTTTGGGCAAAACCAAAACTCCAGGGCCGAAACATTTTGGACTTTAGGGAGGTTTAGGCCAAAACACTGGACTGAACTACAATTGATTGAAACTTAAAGATCAATCTAAATCAACTAATTATTTGCATAATTGTATAGCTGATTATATAATTGATTTTATCATTATAATACAATTTTTGTTTTGTTATAATATGTATCTCTGATAAGATATATAATTTTAGTCTTTAGCAAAACCATTACCATATAGAAAAAATAGTTCTTTGCTATTTTATACATAACTTTTAATTGTTGGGCTATTTTAAGGTTTTTTTAATTATATGCAAATAGCTTCTGTAATTATATGTGATTTTGAATGATTATTAGAAAATAGTAAGAGAAACAAGAGGCTATTCTATAGTTCTAAATATGTAATTAGAACAAAAGAACAGAGAGATTGCTAATGCTAGGTAAGAGTATTTAAGACCTTTGGTAAAGAAGGTTATCTTTTTTTTCCATCCAATTGCTTCTACCTATCTCTCAGTAACTTGCAAACTAAAAAGTAGATATTAATACTTATTTATTAGTTAGTGCTGATAGGTTTGTAGCTACTTCAGACAGTGCAAAGGCCCATACTTGGTTATTAAACTCTGTGGCTCTATATGCATGCAAAATTCTTTTACTTTAGTGATTAAATTTTGAGATTATTGTAAGCAATACAAAGAGCTTTTTTATATAGAACCCAAAATTTAAAAAAGTTACTAGGGTTCCGTTGTTTGATCCGGGTTTGATTTGAGTTTGATCAAACCCCAAATCAAACCAAACTCAAACTATAAATTTTATAAAAGTTT